CTATAGTGTTTACTTACGTTCCCACGGATTAAAATTTGCTTTTTTTAATTCAATATACAACAACCCTTTTACCCCACTTATACTTAGCCCGCATCGTCAACAATTTTAACACAAAATTTTGTGTATGTGGTTGTTGTTATATTTTCTCTTCATCTTTTGGAATACACATTCGTGTGATATTCCCTTATTTTGATTTATCTACGTTGAACTTCTATTTGTGTAATAGAAATAGCCACCATTGAGGCTATTTCAAATGATGTGGTTCAAATAATGTGGTTCAGTCATTGGCTATACCACTTCAAAAAACTGCAATCCCGCATAGGGAAAAATCAGAATAGTTTGGAGGTGTGGACTTCAAGAGATGACAATAAAAGATGTTCTTTCTTACCACTCTACACTTGACAAAATTTCTGAAGGAAACTGCATTGACGGTACAAGAAGGAGATAATAACTGTGAATCGATTATTGCTTTAGATGCATGGAAGCACTTAGACTTTCTATGCAGAAACTATATCTTGAACGGATTGGACAATACACTATATTAAGTATATAGTTCGAAGAACTCGCCCAAGGAATTGTGAGATTCTTTGGAGAAGAAATACAAGATCGAGGATGCCAGAACTAAGAAGTTCATAGTTGACAAATTTTATGATGGATTCCAAAACGGTGATTAGTCAAGTGCAAGAACTTCAAGTTCTTCTACATGACATCCATACCGAGAAGATGGAATTGAGCTAATCTTTCCAACTTGCTGCCATCATCGAAAAGCTCCCTCCTATGTGGAAAGACTTCAAAAACTACCTCAAGCATAAACCCAAGGAAATGAACTTGGAAGAGTTGATTGTCCGCTTGAGGATCTAAGAAGACAATAGGAAATCTTATAGATGGCCTATTGTCCAACTTGGAGCAAACTTTGATGAAACCAACTCGAAGGTCGTCAACAAGAAGTGAAAGTTCTCTGGTGAGGCACCGCGAAGAGGCAACTCCATGAAGGCCAAAAAATTCAAAGAAAACTGCTACAACTGTGGAAAGGCCAGACGTCGCTCAAGCGAATGTTGAAAACCAAAGAAAAATGCACAAGTCAACATGATTGAAAAATACACCCTTTCTGAAGGGATGCAAGAGATAAATTTATCTGCAATTGTTTCTGAGTGCAACCACGTTGGAAACTTAAAGGAATGGTGGGTTGACACTGGTGCTACCCGTCATGTATGAACATATACGACCATGTTCTCCAACTATCAAGAACTGAATGGTGAACAACTTTATATGGAAAACTCTGCAAGTTCCAAGGTTGAAGGACAAGGTAAAGTCACTTTGAAGATGACATCCGGGAAAGAGCTCATCATCAACTATGTCCTACATGTGACGGACATACGTAAGACTCTAGTGTCCTGATCTATACTCAGTAAAAATGACTTTAAGTTTGTATTTGTATCCTATAAATTTGTACTCACTAAGAATTAGATGTATGAAGGAAAGGGATACATGTGTGATGGAATGTTCAAAATGAACGTTCTTACTATTGTACCAAGGCAAAGCATTATGAATAAAACTTTAAATTCCATTTATATGCTTGAGTTGTCATGTTTGTGCCATAGTCGATTAGGACATGTGAATTATGTGAATTATAAATCTTTATCAAACTTATGAATCAAAGTTTTATTCCGACGCTTAAGATCGATCCTAATCATAAATGTGAAGTGTGTGTTGAAGCAAAATTGGCTAAAACACAATTCCACTCGATTCAAAGGAACGCTACACCTTTAGAGCCCATACATAGCGACATTTATAATTTGAAATATGTTCAAACTGAAGGTGTTAAAAAATACATTGTTACTTTCATTGATGATTGTATAAAGTATTGTTATGTTTTTCTTTTAAGAATTAAAAACGAGGAGTTGGATGCCTTTAAGCATTATAAGCCTGAAGTTGAAACTCAACTTGGTAAACGAATAAAAAATATTCGTAGTGATAGAGAAGGTGAATACAGGGCACCGTTTGAAGAATTCTGTTC